GGAACCTTGGACGACGAGATGTACGGCTGCTTTGTCGATAGTGACGACGCCGTGAAGATCCGAAGTATGTATTTAAATGACACGGCAAAGGAATTCCACTGGCTCGCTACCATTGCTGGGCCGACCGAAGCCAACCCTTTTCGGTTCTGCGGCGTCGCTCGATGCACTTTGGGCGTATCCCTTCCTTTAGCGAAAAAACGGGGTGTCTGTGTCGTCGTTTCCATGGGAATGACTACAACTAAGCATGGAGAACGGATGACGTACTACGTTTCTCATTCCGTAAATTTCGCAGACTCTGCAGGTGACGATACGAATATTCGAGCAAAGTGCTCGCTCTGCTGGCTGAAGACGGAGTTACCGAACGGGAAAGTCGAGTTGTACATGAAAGGGTTCGCTGCGCCCATGGGCATCGTACCCGAGTTTGCAGCGTTCCCAGTGTTGGTAAATTGCGTCTTGGGCATTGCGATGACGAGCGACGCCGCGTATTCCAAGAAGCTCGCGTGGATGATCTACGATACCGGCAGGACAGAAAATGGGTCAGCAGTTCCACCGATGGATGCATGCATCGGACGATGCAAGAACGCGTTTGGAGGGCCAAAAAACAGTGGCAGCTTCCGACGGTGTCTTGTTTGTCGCAAAGCCATTTGCAGCACATGTCAAATCGTCCGAAACATCGTCGTTGACATTGAAAAGGGACAGGTCATCACGAAAAAATGTAGTGTATGCATTCTGTGCATGCATCAAGCAAAGTACTACAGTCCACTGACGTTTGCTCGACGTGATGTGCGCTTGAAACGGTGGAAAACACTTGACGTCACCCGCTTATCGGTTACTAGCAGTAGTGGTCACGATGTCGTGCTCACAGAACTTTCGGACCGTCTCTTCTATCAAACGCGTTGATTCTTTGGACACATGTCGTCTCCCTTCTTGTGCCGTTTAATATATTGACATTCGTTCTCATGTGATCCCTGGTACATCTCGGTGCATACCATTCGTTACTCGTAAGCGTTGCTTGATGGTAAGCGGTTTGATGCAGGCAATTTGAACATTCTCTTGGTACTTATGTGACATTGCATACATGCTACAGACTGCTTGCATCCGACCTGTAGTCGCATCAACGAACAATTCACAAGCTTAAGAACGTTGATTTGGAAACAAGGACGAAGCTGTGCTGCACACAAAGCTTTAAGTACGTACTTCTGCGAACGTCTAGTAGACCTCGCCGATTCTCAACAATATGCTTTTCGATTTGCGAAAGGTAGACAAGCACAGTCTGAAATGTACAAGGTGATACGGCGAATCGAGTCAAAAAGTCCGCCTGTAATGCACGGGTGGATAGTACGATGGATCAGTTCTAGCAGACTGGCGAACACATTTGCAAATTACACTTGTGGAAGTAGCTACGTGTGGAAGGTGACACAACGATGTTCGCGCTAAAAGCCGAAGATCACAACATCGACAGCTAAATACGTGGCTGAAGTATTGACTTCATTTTTGACATTTATGATGACGGAACCATCTCCTTCCAGGTCAAACATCAGTAGTACCATACGACAGACGCTTGTATCGGTTGTCGCGCCAAACATGAGCAATGAACATCTTACCATGCCAATCCACTCATCAACAAGATGTTATCACGTCGGTCATTTGCCGAAGCTAGAAACGACGGATTGGACGAAAATGTGATGCATAATTATCCGATCACAGCCTTGAACATCGAGCACATTAGTCTTCAGCCGATATTACGCTACAACTTGTACGACGCCATTGATATTAGCCTAGCTTCCCAATTATTTTTAGATTATCCGTGCTTGGAGAATAGATCTGTCAGGTAAGGAAAGCCGTTCAATGTTAAGCGAAAATGACAACCACTTGCGGAATCTTTTGTCAAATTTATTGTTTGTACTAAGCCACCAAGGTTTTTGGCCCCGATGATGACTGTCTTAACTTGTGTTGAGGAAACGTCGTAAACCACAACCGTGGGAAAGTTTTACGGACATCGCAAACATGCTCCGAAGCTCCTCGTGCACCTATTTTATATGCCCGAAGTGTCAGATCAACTAAAAGCGTCTCAAGGTGGTGGCTCTATCGAAAAAATCTTCTGATCGTGGTTTCGAATTCATAATCTTCCGTGCGAGCAGAACAAGTACGATGCAGTGCAGCTGATAATTGCTTATACAAGACGATGTTAGACTCGCACAATGCAAAACGTACAGATGCGAGTGCCTATTTGCACCCTGTTCGATCATTTTGTATGAGGTATCGCTAAAACCAACACCTCTTGAGACCAATTAGTAACATGAGAAGTGTCTACATTTGTCATTAGTTTATTGCGTCGTACAGTCGATACGATGCACAAACTCTATCGAACATACCATCTTTTTGCATAGGTCGCGATTTAGTTTTCTTTTTGAATACGTTTTCGAGTCACCATGAGACCTTTTCAGACATTGATTTGTGGCAACAAAACATGACAATCGTACAATGTCACAGGTTCGTGCTACATTATACAACGCTCGAGTTTTTGTTCCACTATTTGATTGCAGGTAGTACACTTCATGACAGCGCAATGCGCGAGGATGCAAATGACAATGAGGTTATTTTCACGACCTCTGTTTCAACATTTACAAACTCGTTGTTTAAATTGTGAGATGTAGCAATCGTATGTACTGGAAATTCCTACATCTGAGAGTAAATATATCTCAACTAATGAGCTGTTTATGTGGTAACATGAGCAATAAAGGCATGATCTTCAAAACTGTATGATGTCGTGCATTGAACATTTAGGCACTATTAGTGTGCCCCGTTCGATATACATTGGTCTACTTAATGCTGCCAGATTGATAGTTGAGGAGTACGCCAAGTAAAGATGGGGGGCATCGTGTCAAAAACATAGTTAAGTACGCGCAAGCAGCGTATTTCCAAAAGATGATGGAGTGCATGTTTTAACACATTATAACCTCCATTTTTGATGCGGACAAATTGTCGCTTCCGCGTGTAGTGCTTGAGGTTGCCCATAGCTTAGCTGTCTACAGTTGTAGACACTACCAACTCCATTATTTTGGTATTCACCACTATTTTCGCTCGAGCGCACTTCATTTCACAAAGCAACATAGGTTTATTTCAAGAGCTGAAACCAGCCTTACAATTGCAATGACCACTAAAACATGGCTAAATTAGTAAGGCTGTCATTTAAAAGTATACCTAGCCCTTTATGGCTGTCTACATGACCTGTAGAGCATATTCCTTCACCATGGCCGTGAGCTGTAATAATTCCGTTGTACTACTTACTATCTTGCCAGTCTTGGCTACCGACTCCTGTCCTCACTTGCTTTCCCGCGCCAAGTTTGAAGTTGCACAGCCACTGATCAAAGCAAAGAAGATCTTGTCACTCATCCTCATATTTCGTAATAGTGAGAGTCAAGTATTTAGCCCTGCGAACCATCCTGTTTGCTTCCTACCATTACACCCGCACTCTACTTACAGAATGGTGCTGTCCTACCTTTTATAGTATTGCATGGGCCATAGAAGGCCCATGCAATCAAGCGTAATGCAGCACCATAGCTATAGTTACATCAATTACCGGTTTGCTTCACCTTCCGAGGTTAGAAATGTGTTGAAAAACATGCATGCATGTAAAAATACCGCTCTGGGTGATGTGACGAGCCCACTGTAGTGCTTAGTATCTGCTCTTTTCAAGAATTTGATGTGACTCACCTGGTAAGTTGACTTAATCATTTGTTATTTTGATCTGATGCGTTCAAGTCATTTATGAATTTGTTATTAGTAATACTTGGAAGTCCACAGCATGTACGCATACGATACTTGGGCGAGCCATGATACTGCTAAATAGATGTACAATCCGAATACTCTGGCAGTGGAATGTGCTACGGAACGGTATCATGAGTGTGGCACATTTCAGATCAGTGACACACTATTTCATGAGGTTCTTTTCTTTGAGAAATGTACCAGCTCTAATGGTACTATTCGGAAAGGCACCAATGTTAAAACAGTAGGCTGGCAGAGATACTAGAGCTGGTAAGCTATTGAGAAAATTGCAATACAGGCACCAACCGGATGCAAACATTGCAAACCGGCAGCAGTCGCAAAACAGCACCACTTTATGGCGGAATTCGAGCGCGTTTATAGAGGTAATTAAAACATTTGTTCGACCTTTTGTTAAACCTCTGATTGAACCTCAGGTCCTGTGAACTTTCAACGAATAATTAAGCGATAAAAACCAGGCACTGTTCACACACTCGGTTATTGCAACCATTATTAGTAGCAGTATACCCCTCCTGCTACTGTATTAGCTCTCTACCCGCAAGCCACGCGTGGCACGCACTCGCAGCACACTTTTTTGGAAACGAAACGTCCCGATTTACAAGGAAAATCAATTTTTGAGGACTTCCGCGTCAGTCGTAGCCTGTGTTCCTGGCTTTGTCGAGATATTAGCTCTGATCTGGAGCGGGACTCGAAACGTACGACCAGCGCGGGTTGTTTTAAACTGGTATGTAAAATCTAAATTACGTTTGACTGCATAGGCTTTAGCAAGCCTTTACCTATTTCGAACCGCATCGCAATTGTGTTGTATCGATGGGCGTGCGGATGCAGTCTACGAGTCGTTGCGTGTTTATTTGAAGTGGCGCGAGTAACAGCCCACGTTTGTTGTAACGAGGTTGCAAATGTTGTAATCAGACGTTTGAATGAAAAAGCTGTACACTTTCCCAGCGCTCATGATACGACTGGCTGGAAAATAATTGCCGATGGGTTTCGAGAGCGCCGAGGAATTGGACCTGTGGCAGGTACCATAAATGGCACTCACTTCGCCATTCTAAAGCCAGCTGGAGACGCGCTTCACAATAAGTACATTAGCCGCAAAGGTTTGCCACTATCGCATGTCAAGCGGTCGTGGATGCGAATGGACTTTCTTGGAGGGTAAAAATAGATAGTCTCAAACAGTGTATTACTAAGTTTTACGAATACTTAAACCGTCTCCTCTAGCTCGCGTAGTCATCGCGGCAGGTGGCAAGCAAGTTGTTGTACTTGTCCGTGGCTTGTTTCAAAGTCCACTGGCCCAAGCCACGAAGTCCCATTCCGCGCGTTACAGTACGCTCACGTTCTTGCTATCAGCAATAAACGATAGGCCTCTAAACATTCGAAAGGATATAAGCAAGTGTTCGTATCCGTAATATTACACAATTATAGAAAATTGTCAAACGAATTGTATGGTACCATCCGAAAAGTGTTGCAATATCACTTTCCTTCCTGTAAAATATTTTTGCGTCATTAAAATAGAAAAAAGGAATACACGCATCGAGGCACACAGGCCGAGACGAATAAAAAGACGCCCATCAAGTACCACAGGCAAGTACTTACCAAAGCTGTCGGGCCTTCTTAGAGACAGGGGGCTTTTCTTTCTTGCACCCTGTACCGGCGCGTAGCAAGCGTTACCGTCTGTCATAGGAGCATCAGGATGTCCGGGCTCGGTGGAAGGGAAAGATCTGGTGGTGGCGTCGCTGACGGCGGGCCCGTATAAAAGTGATGGGGGTGACCGCCATCATCCTGAGCTGGATTTTTGTGGTGGTTTAGGGGTGGAAATCAGGATCGATAGAACACAATGGATGCTGGATGTGTAATCAACAAGGTTTTTAATGCACTTCAGAAACAGCACTTGAGTTAAAACTCTTGTATAATCTCTCGTTCAAGCAGGAATTCAAGAAGTAGTTGAAAGGCCACTCAATTCGATTTATAAACGCGCTCTGAAAGCGTCCCATTCTAAATGTCCCTCAATTTAGCCGATTTTATACCGGTTTCAGTCTGATCGATTCTTCCAGTGACCATTTCTACTCAAGGCAACTGCAGTACTTTTTCCCACAGCACGTCAGTATTTTTGCGGCATTTCTTTCTGTATACTTATTGTCCATACCAACCAATGATCCTTGAAATAGTCTAGCGAACATCTAGCTTTGTTCAAGTATACATTTCGTGTCCACCCCACAAGTCCACAGATCTGATTTTTTTCGAGAGCTCCTCGACGGATCCTCCTCGTCAACCACTTTCCAATCTACCATCGGTCCCCCACGTACCGTCCTCCAATCTCCTCTCCCCTCCTCCTCCACTCATGCAGCCACCCCTCGTCGTCATCGGTGCTGTTTTGGCAGTGACTGCTGCTGCCATGTCGGTGAACATCAAGGTGCACAGCAGCCACAACATGAAGTTCCAGGAGGTGACGATCGTCGAAGACGACGCCGAGTGCCCTAGAGGCGGTCAGGTGCTTATGTGCAAGAGCGTGGGGTACGAGTGTCAGGACAGCGGCGACGGCGTCCAGAAGTGCCTGAGACGCGACAGCTCGTTCCTGGACAAAGTTGACAACAAGACCGCGACGTACTGGGCCAAATGCAGCCACACGGACCACTCTCTACCGTCCAAATGCCTCGGTCAGTTCCAGTGTATCGCCACGGACTTTGCCAATAAAAACTCCCGCTGCTACCCGCCTGACGTGTGGCGCGGAGAGCGCGCTGTCGCCGAAACCTGCAAATCCTCTGATGGAAAGAAGAATGAGTGTGACAAGGGCCAGTACTGCCGCACGCACAACGACAAGCAGGAGTGTGCTCCGATGCCGTACCCGCCGTCAGGTACGTCGTACCTGAGTGACTGCACGAGTGACGGCAAGTGTGACGAAGGCTTGACCTGTAAAAGTTTTCCTCACTTCTCGACGTGCACGGACGAGAACGAGTAGGAGACGGCCAAAAGCTGGTGGAAGACGGGTGGATGGTGGCGATCGGTATCTTATCGCGTGTAAGTAGCACACGTAATATATGAAGTATTACAGGACAGCCTCGAGTGTCACAGTGTAGGAGTCGTCGTGCTAAAAAAACAGCAATAAATTTGAGCTACCTAAATGTGCTCAGCTTTCCTAATCTTTGTGCATTCAATCGTCACATCGTCATACAAGGCACATCCTTCCTAATTTCCAAGCCCCAGTTCTTCTGAACACTCGGTTTCCAGAAGGTCACGCCGCACCATATTCCATTCAAGGGGTACAGCGTGCCCAAAATGTGCTCCTTGCGACTCCTGGTGTGCGCAGTCGCCTCGTCTATCGTCGACTCTTTGCCAGACAACAACGTGCAGTTGGACATGGGTCTCTCTGCGGCTCAGCCGACTGTGAAGTACTTTGCTCGCGTGATTAATGAGGGTGACGACTGCTCGTACGCCGAGAAAACGGTCCCAATGTGTGCTAGAAAGGACTCTGTCTGTCGGATGCCACCCGGGGGAGAAGCTGATGCCAACGATCCTTCGTGCCTGGCTTACGACCCGAGCAACATGGAGGACAACCCGTTTGAGATCGAGGACTCAGCGGTCGTTCCGTGGGGAAATTGCAACCCGACAGCGGAGCTCAAGAGGAAGATTGGCGACCCGCCTGTGTGTAAGAGGGACTTTCAGTGTCGGTGTCTCCACGGAGCTGGCGAGAACTTCATCTGCGCTCCAGCGGATGCAGTGGACGATGTGCGTGGAGCTCGGACGTGTCAGAACGTGACGTCTGCTTGTCCCACGGACGAGTACTGCCACTATGTGGAAGCTGGAGGTGTTGAGTGTGGACCGAAACCGTACTTCTTGTGAGACGTGGTGGAGTTGGGAGTGGCGCTTGGATTTGGTACTGGGCGATCCAGTTGGTGCCTGGGCGGGGAGGAGTTGTTGGTTCAAGACAGACAGTGTGTGACGAGATGAGGCCGCTGGTGATTTCATCCCGTTTCACATCGTTGTTTCGGGTCGAATGGGCCAGTGAAGCTGAAGCATTGAGCACGTCGCCCAAGTGTTGCTCTTGCTGTGGATGTTCTTACTGCTTCGAGAGGCGTTGAGTGTATCGATGCACTACTTGCTTTTGCCATCTCATGGGGAAGTGGCAGTCCTGCTCAAGCGTGACGGGTCCACGTCAGACATTTTCGAGCGACAAGAGTCAAGAGCTTCTCGTTGTTCCAATCTACCTGCCGACTCGTGTGTGCATCCGCGGCAACTAGTGTGGGGGCGCGCAGTGCTTTGGTCTGTATACACGATAGGTATACCATACGTTATCGAAGCAATTTATTATGCCAGTTGCTGCCGCGTCCACCCGCACTCGAGCAACTTCAAGGGAAACCTCTTTGCCATTTGACCATCACTCTGTTCCGCATTGTAAACTCCCCTCCCCCTAATACACATACAAAGATCACGTGACCCCGTTTCCATTTTCCGTCATTCAAGTCAAGTCACCCGCGCCTTTCTCCCGCGCCCTTGCCCCCCCTCCTCCTCCATCCCTTGCGCTGTCACGACTCCCGCCACTGGAACAGGAGAAGCAGACGTCATTATGGCGGACAAGTGTCTTCGCAACGCCAGCTGCACGTGCAGTTTATGCTCAGGATTCGACGTGGCGTCGCTCCGGAGCATCTCCAAGTCCATTGCGTCCACGATCCAGTACGAGGACGAGAATGAAGACGAAGACCGCTCAACTACAGGAGACGAGACGCGTGGCTCAGCCGCCCCGTCACGTGGGAAAACAGCGCTCACCAGCCACGTTTCGACTGTCCAAAAAGACGTGGACGCAACCGCTAGCGCTACTTCAGACGTGGTGATGACGGACGTTGCAGCAGAAGAGACGCTGGAGCCCAAAGCGCTGGCCAAAGACGTCGACAAGATGCTGATCAACGCGTCTGACGCTTCAATTTCGCTACCTGGAATCGCAGCAGACGGGGCAGGTTCAGGCGGTCCCCTGTCGCTCGATGTGGTGCTGCCCCAGCTGACGGACAAGCTGTGGAAAGTGCGGAAAGAAGCGTTTGAAGCACTGAAGGAGCTGTTCGAGCAGCCGAACGTGACGACGAATCAGGTGCGAGCAGCAGTGGAATTGTTCCCGAAGATGTGTGAGGACGCCAATGCGAGTGCATTGGAGGCGGCTTTTGCGGCTGTGCTGGCGTACACGGTGCACGTTGAGCCGTTTGACAAGGCAATTGTGTCTGGAGTGATGACTCGTGTGACTGATAAGGGCTTTTCGGCTCGACCAGGGATTGTCAAGATCTGTGAAGAGTTGACTGACGCTTTTGTGGCTGCTGGCGCAGTGGAAGAGACGACCGTGGCTCTTTTAGAAGGAGTGAGCAATCGCAAGCCCAAGGTGCCACCAGCTTGTCTGTCGTGTCTACTGGAAGCGTTGAAAGCGTATGGGCCGCGAGTCTTGCCGCTGCAAACTATTAAAGCAGCACTACCAAAGCTAATGGAGGGACCTGTCAAGGCACGCCCGATGGCTATGAGCATCATGGTAGAAATTCATCGATGGACGGGTCCAGCACTCGTTCAGGATATTGTGGCCAACCTTCGGCCTGTTCAGCAGACCGAGTTTGAGGGGCACGTCAAGGATGTTGTTCCCGGCCAAGCAGCACCCACCAAGTTTGTCAGAGGCTCCAGACCGGCTGTAGCTACAACCAACGCTAGCGGAATAGGTTCTAGTGGCGCAGAAAAAGGGGGTATGGTCACACCTACAGCGTTTGACCCCCGTGATTTTGCTGAAACAGTGGATTTGCTTGCTAGACTACCTAAGACTGAGTTTAAGACGAAGTTGGCGTTACCGAAGTGGAGTGAAAAGGTGGAGGCACTGAAGATTATTTTGGAAGTGATTGGCCCCGTACCAAAGCTAGCAGACGGTGATTTTTATGAGCTGGTCACAACTCTGAAAGCCTTGGCGAACGACTCGAATGTGAACATCGCGGCCAAATCAATCGAAGTATTTGGCGCGCTTGCAGACGGCCTACGGAAATATTTTACGCAATACGCTCGAATGGTGTATTCTGAGCTATTGCGGAAACTATCAGATAAGAAGTCGGTGATTTTGAACGCAGCAAATACGACATTGGACTTATTTTTACAGCATGCGATGACAATTGATATGATGATGGATGATTTAAAAGTAGCTTGTGACGCGTCGAAAAACAAATCTCCGCCTGCACGTGTACAAACCATGGCTTTCCTAGCACGTGCTGTGAAAAGTCGTAATGTCGATTTGAATGACAAGGCACAAATAGTGTCCTTAGCAACGATGTTTTTGAAAGGCATCGAAGATAGTGACCCAAAAGCCCGCGAGGCAGGCCAAACGTCCTTGATTGTGCTCTTGCAGGCATCGGATCAGGCGCATACGTGGCTGCGAAGTATCGTGGATGAGATAGCGCGCAAGAATCCTCGAGCACACAAGGCGATCCAGCGAGGTTTAGGTGGTGAACCAGCTTCAACGCCTCCTGTACGTCCAGATACTATGCAACCATCGCGTCCTAGTAGTGCTTCACTGTCCCGTCCTAGCAGTGTGAGCAGTGCTGCTAGCCGATCCAGTCTAGGCGACTCCAGGACATCGGATGTGGGTGTGGCTAGCTCAGTCTCTGCCAACTCCCGTAGTCCATCACTAAAAAAGCGCGGACTACGTGCTCCGCTAGGAATGAGACCTGCTTCAAGCGGTGGAACTGTTGCTAAAACTGCTCCTTCAAAAAGAGCTTTTGCGGAAGGCTTGAGTGTGGGTGCATCTGCCGATGGGAGCGTGTGCGCCGATTTTACACCTGTGGCGATCTCTGTCACCGCCGAAGAAGCTGAGGACATTATTGCGGAGCTACAAGTAGGGACCTGGGTTGCTATCAAAGAAGGGTTCGCGAGCCCGAAATGGATGGAGCGCAAAGGAGCAATTGAGGCACTGCAGGAATATGCCAGTGCGCACTCTCCCATTATGAGTGTGCGCGTAATTGAGGCGCTCACGGTTTATTTGGCACAACAAGTGAAGGGTTTTAAGGATAGCAATATTAACGTGCTGAAGAGTTCCTTCGAGGCAGTCGGAACGTTTGCAAAGACAGCTGCCGGCAAGTTTCCTCGCGGAGTTGTCTGTCTTGTTACTCCTCGTGCTTGTGACAAGATTGGAGACAGGAAGGCAAACGAGGCTACTCGCAACATGATTCTGCAGTTTTGTGAAGTGACTAGTCCGTCATACACAACAGGGTGTATGATAGAGTATATGCCGAAAGTTCGATTACCGCTAGCGCATATTGAGGCTCTAGCAGTTTTGACAGACTGCGTTAAAGACTTTGGTATCTCCATATGTAACCCACGTGCACTAGTCGGCTATGCAAAGGGTCCGCAAGGGCTAGAGTCATCTAACCCCAAGGTCCGCAGTGCCGCTATTGCACTACTCAGTGAGATGTATTCACAACTTGGACCGGCGCTGGTTTCGATTCTTAACCTAGACACATGGAAACCGGCATTAGCTGAGACCGTGAAAAATGAATTTGATAAGACGGGCTACGATTCAGCGAAAGCCTCGACAAGTGTGAAGCGACGTGTGAAAGATCAGGATGAGGCTAATTCAAGTGCAGTGGACTCTGGCGCACTCTTTGGTCGCGTTGACGTTAGCAGTCAATTAACTAAAGAGCTGTTTGAGTGTATGAAGAACGAGGCGGACAAAGGTGCCTGGAAGAAACGTGGGGAGGCTATGGATGCCGTCCAGACGATTTGCGAGAGTGCTGGTTGCGCGATTGAGTTCACCCGATCTGTGCAAGAAGTGCTTCGTAATCTGAAAGCTCGCCTAAACGACTCGAACGCAAATATGAAGGTAAAAGCTGCAAACGTAATTGCAGTCGTTGCGACAAGTGTTGGTCCTGATATTGCAAAGATGTCGAAGATACTTGGTCCAAGCTTGATTGCCGGGGTTGCTGACAATAAGAAGTCGATGCAATCAGCTGCGATTCAAGCCTTACACAAATGGGTATTGCACGACAGCAAGACTTCTTCTTCCTGTATGGAAAGTCTTCTTTCACCACTTGCGGAAGGTCTTTTGAACACGGTTGGACGAGCAGAGTTGCTTAAATGGGCAACAGAGCACCTTGGCAGATGCACGAGACTCGATTTACATTGTTTAGTCGTTCCCGCTGTCCAGTGTTTGATGGACAAGTCGTCCGATGCGCGTGAGAAAGCTCAACTGCTGCTTCTTGAAGTTGTGAAGTCTGTCGGTAAAGACACTGTGCTTACAAATGGGTGTCGTGATATCCAACCTGCTGCCATGCGGGCCTTGAAACCTTTGCTTGCAAAAGTGTGTGAGCTAGCCGATGCGAGTGGTGACGCAAATGTATCCGGTCGGCCAGCTTCTATTTCAGGAATTTGCACAGCGCCTACGCTAGCCCATGCGTCTATAGCTGCTGCTGGTCAAGAAACTAATGGCCCCGGAAACGTACGTGGTGGAACTAGTAGAAGGGTCAGCGCATCTACTGGGGGTGTTACCCCTTTGAAGTCACGCATCGGTCGTCTTGGTTCATCGAAAATTACCATTACATCGTCACCGACTACTTATGATGACACCGAAAAGGACACAGCCCCATTACTAAAGATGAGCACTAACAAACAAGCGAGGTTAAGTAAGGGGCTGTACAATCATTGGGTTTTCGAGACTACTTCATTGAGTGAGATGAATGCGCGCAAGAGTGAAATCGATGCCGAGTGGAAGCCTTTTCTATCGCTGGATTTTCACGCAAAGCTATTTGCTCCGTCACTAGAAAAGGGAATGTTGAGTGCGATGGATGGGCTATCGTCGTGTATCGTACACCAAGCTGCTGAGGTGATCGCGTCACTTGACCTCATCTTGAAGTGGTGCACTCTTCGTATTGTCGATAATAATGTCCAGGCCTTGGCCAAGTTATTGGAGGTCTTGATCAAGTTGTTTAACATGCTCAAGGGAAGAGGATATCAGCTGGATGATGTCGAAGCTGCAATATTGCTTCCATTTTTGCTACAAGAGAGTGGACAGTCAAAGCCGCGCTTTCGTGTCCGCTTCCGTGATGTTATGAAGCTGGTTGTTGATGTTTATAGCCCTGAAAAGTATGTCCCCTTTTTGGTGGAATGCTTCAATAGCTCAAAGAATATGAAGAGTCGTTGTGAGTGCATTGATCTTGTGGAGTATATCGTAAGTGTGCAAGGATACCAGATTGTTGGCCGCAAATGCATCAAGGACGTGGGTAAGTACGTCGTAGCTCACGAGAAGGAACTCCGCGAGAGTGCGATTAACGCGCTAGTATCCGTGTACGTGCGGACCGATAAAGAAAACCCGGACAAGTTTTTTAGATATGCTGGTATCACGGCGCAGCAAGGCGTCGATTTACTCAGTGCGCGTTTAAAGCACTTGCCTGCCAGTTGTTTTCCGCTTGAAGCCGGTACTGCTGGACCGGTCCTGACGTCAGAACAAGAGGGACAAAAATCTCAGCCTGCTCAACGGACAGGCTTTGGCTTTGGGTGTGCGTCTTCTGCCACAGCTACAGCACCGACACGTAGCACGGATGATAACGAGCACGTGGTACCTACTGGGACTACTTTCACATCCGACGTAAGGCAGTTCAGGGATGATGATGTCGATGACGATATCGAAATGACTACTTCGAACGCGGAGATTGAAGAAACTCCACCTGGTGCAGCGATTGAAGAGTTGCTGTTACGTCCAATCGAGATGCTCGTCGATTCGTCGAGGGAAATTGTTCCTGCTGGCACACCAGCGTACAAGGAAGGTGGAAACGCACTGAAGGGTCTGTATGCAATAATTAACCGTCCTTCAGATGCGTCAGAGGTCGAGTTCTTGCACTCGTATGTAAATGAGATCGTTTTGGCCCTGTGCGACTGTATACATGGCGCATTTTACGCTGGTAATGCAGAAAAAAGGCCCGAGATGTACATTCTGGCAATAAGCATCACTACGCTGACGGTAGTTTTAAACAGTGAGGCCGTCACCAGTATGCAGCGCTACACAGTGGAACGCGTTTTGTTGGAACTGTGCTCAAAGATAATGGACCCACGTTTGGAAAAGTTTTCCCGAAATGCTAATGTGCCAGTAACTGAACTGAGATTGACCCTGGAAGAGAACCGTTACCTTATGGTGTACAAGGCACTGTACAAGGCGATGCGCAAATTGACTGAAAGGGCAAAGCCTGGTGATGTGTACCCGTCGGTGATTAATCTTCTGCAACGGCTTATGCACAACGATGTAGGTGAGTACAATAAGAACGACACCTTGAAGCACCTGCTGAAGGAAGATTCGCTAGACCAACTCGTTGGGCGCATCCTGCTAAAGCTATCGAGCATCCAAGCGAAGTCACTGGCTCCGTTTGAGGGTATCGACATCTTTGGTGTTCTGATGCAAATGCATGGGTTTTTCTCGACTCTTCCTCGAGCTGAAGTGATGATGGTGGATATCGCAAACGATAATATGCAGTCGGCGTTGAAAATTATCGCTGAAAGTTTAACGAAGACGCGACCGAGTGCTTTCGAGTCGTCTATGAAAGACATACCGTCAACGTCTCTAGTGCGTCAGATCCTCCAAGAGATGGGATATGATCAAGATCGACAGCAATTTGCCGCAGAGCCTTCTGGATTACATGCTGATGAAAATAGTGTTTGTCTCGCATCTGCCGCACCCAATGCTATGAAGGACTTCGATGGCGGCACCGCTACCAATGTAGATGCAGCTACAACAGGGGCTGTCAGACGTTCATTTCCGGTAGAAGACACCAGTCTGCCTCGAAGTCCGCGCGCAACATTTATGGCGCCACCCCGGGCAGGGAGTATTCCCACAGCGACCCGCGGCCGTAGTTTTACGTCATTCCACGACTTTGCTGCCACTCGTGGTACATCGGGTAGTGCGACTCGTCCGTCGACGACTAGCGAACAGCTCGAAAACCTGCGGGAGCGACTGCAAATGTCCCGTCATTTTAGCTGATTCTCTATGCGTCGCTTGGCACCATAAAACGGCGTCTGATGAGGCTCTGGCGCTTGGCGTCGCTTTATGCAATCGCATTGTCCAGCTGTGGTCTGTCGTTGATTCAGAACACCGAGTAGGTTTTGCAGTGATTTGTGGATAGAACGTGTAGCACAAATTTGCCGTGAAACGAAGGAACGACGTCTTGAAATAGCAAAATGATTGCAGATTTGGTCGTAATGCTGTCCACTTCGACACAGCAGAGGCGCTACTCACTTGGTAAGATCTGTTCAGCGTGATGTCTGCATTTCTACAAAACTGGTCGCCTGCTCCTATACCTCCACTTTTATATTCTTTAAACTCAGCTAACAAACGTGTTTTTTCACTGCATGTTGTGCTAAGATCCTATTTGACGTTTGTTGACCAACATTTCGATATTTTTAGATGCAGTATGATACTGCACAACCTCGAGAGACGGACAAATGGAATGTCATCTAGAGTAAATTCTGGACATAATGTCAGACGCAAGCACTCGGGCCTTTCAGCAAGAGCCTCTCCAAAGTTTATCGTTCACGCCCTCCTCTTCTCGATCAACGCACCCGATTTTACTTCTTCTACTCCGACTATGCGCATAAGACATGATCGATCTCAAGGGGCTAACATGGGCTGTGAAAAAGTATGGTAAAAAAGTTGCTACGTATTAGAGCTGATCGTTATCCACATGGTTGCGTTTTTGTGGCGCTATTGGCGTGCAACGGCAAACTCATTTGTGTCTCATCCGTCTGTATGTTGCACTCGCTCACATTTTTTTAGCGAAAGGGCTTATAAAGCGTATTATAGAACTCGCACGTCTCAACGCCCCCTCTCTTCACCGATAAGTCATACCTATGCGAGCCCTCCGATTCGGTATGACCGAAAATGACAACACATACGTGAGTAGGTCAACAAGTTTGAATTATGGGAATTGTTTTTTCCACCAAACTTTTTATTATTTCAACCACACTTTTTACTATTTCAACCTTTTCACTAATTTCACCACAAAATTCCTTTTTTGAATGACTATTAGGATACCACGTGGAGTAGTTACATATTGCGAGCCCGAAGAGTGGAGCTATCAGTGAACGTGCGCAAGGTGAATGCCGAACCTCTAAAATGTACTTATCTGTGTGTGTCTGTAAATAACGCGGTTAGATGTACCTTACTTGTGCTCGTGCAATCTAGCCTGTCCATCACTATAGGTACATCGGCATATCCGAAGTCCCTCTTTGGCGACGTAGCTAAAGTGGTGCACGTGATCGGCTTAAACCCATCAAAGGTGAATGTGATCACACAAGAAAATGCTGGACGCGCATAAGCAAAGGCCTGTCGCAAATGCTTTAGACTACTGTACTGGGTACACACAACTACATCATCCTACTCCTACTTCAGTGACTGCTGTTGCAGAGCGTTTTACAATTTGATTCAGTTCTCCAAACATGATCACTGCTTACACAGGGGGAGCTCTAGAGCTTGGTCCCCTCTCATAAAAATAGTAATCCAAAAAAGTCGTCATAATCGCCTCGCTTGCGCGCAACGCTAATGAAACCGGATACGCTTCACTACGTACTATAAAAAAGAAATAGTATTTCCCACTGACTAGGGCAGATAAGTTTTATAGTGTGATCCAAAATTTCTAGTTGCTGTAATGGCATCGAATTCCAAAGTAAATGGCGAAATTACGCTTATCGGTGGACGTTAAGGCGTCGAGTCCGCAAACATTTTACGCTTAGTTACGACGGACCTTTACGCTGGAGATTACAAACAAATGAGCACAGACTGAACCTTTGTTATGACTTTTTGACATCTAAATATAGCTTCTGAACCAGACATCCAGGCATACACCGATCACAAACATTCGCAATTTCTCGATTGTAAGCTAAACTAAAGCATGACCTTCTAGGACACAAAATGAAGCGATTTGGAAAGTTCGCATCCATAGAAAGGTTGTCTCTATCCACGTTTGTCGTATTCAATCAGTACATAATGAACAAATCGCGATGCGGCCTAAAGTTCCGCATCAATACTATCGATACTGTTGTAAAACTCATTGAGGTCAAAACCTTTACGTGCGTATTTATCAACGATTAAAGCGACAGGTATTTCTACTTATTAGCACTACGTATGGCATGTTCGACAAAAAATTATAAATGCTATGAAAAACTACGAATGTGCTTTCATGAAACGATAAAGCTTGCAGAATTTTTTGACAGACACGACTACGTCAATAGACGGATACTCTTAGAGTTGTCCAAAGGTAAAAGGTTATTAGTGCACTATGCATTATCCTTCATGACAAAACGCGCGAATCGAGCCACAGCGATTTTGTTGAAAGAATCCAAGTCTTAATAATATAAATAGCGGACTTTCAGAGTATTCGGACGATCAGGAGTAGACATCATTTGAATCCTCATGAAATGGTACCGCTTCAAGATCAGGCTCTGATTCGAAAAATAGAATCCACAGAGACATCAGTTGTCGACGTGACACAACCTACTCAAATTTCGCTGCTAGACAGTTACATTGCGATATCCACTAGAATCAAAACATGCTTTGTGGTGCATGAGTTATTGTAGCACGGATATCAGTTCACATGGAGCTACTTCGTGAGCTTCAATTGGCGAATAACAACAAAATCCATAATTACCAGGATTGAACAAGCAGAAGGTCGTTAGAATTAGTGATTTACGGGCTGTGCATTTTCAGTACGGTACATACAACTGGATGAATGCTAATCTTATGCATATGGACGAGCAGAGTTGTCTACGGCAGAAACTAATGATTTGAGAAGGACCATGGATATCACAAATGACCGATTGATCGATCCCCCCGTTACACTGATTTTCTATGCCATTACTTAAAAGTCACAGAAGATCGCATGTTCAATGACTGTATACTTGATACAACATTAATTAAGTTGCTACGAGATGCAAGTTATTGTCAGAATGAACAAATTTGACGATGTCACGAGGAAGGCATTTAGCTTATTAATGTATTCATGAGACAACTAAAGTCTATTGTTACTATTTTTCAAGCTTTACAAAGAGCCTTCCTCGGAAGTGACGTGTCTGTAGAGCACCTGGATATCGAAAATTTATCTTTTGAAACGTGGAACTTACGGAGTGTTCCACAAAGTTAATCGCAAATTACAACAGATCACGCTATAGGATCAAGAGAATGTTGAAGTAGTCTTTTTAGAAGGCATGTTGACTGAGAACCCTCAATCAGTTATAAATTAGATAATATCCAACCTATCGCCTCTGGACGTCGGAATGTGAAAGGATTATCATCAAGATAAAATTTCTAGCTTCAGGATGTAATATCCGCGTGAAAAAATTGTGTCGTCAGCTTTCGCGTGTTCGTGACACTTATCAGAATATTTTTCGACCGAATGCATGATAGACCGTGAACACGCAACCACATCATCCTTCCATACTTGGTCTGCACAGCCTCACTCTAACTAAACAATCAAAGATGGATTTAAACCCTCGTATCTAACAGCATGGTGCAGACTTATTACACCATTTGTTTCGAAGTGTAACGAATCCATGTTGTTTTTTCTGCCGTGCCTCCTTATTCTGTTGGGATCTATACGTTCGAGTACATCTTCCGCACAGTTGCCACCTGATCCAAAGACAATTACAACAAGGGCACTGACACTTGAAGTAAGGCCACTGACACCGTAATCAGTTGCAGACCGTTTATATCCAGCCAATTACACATCATAAAGCGGTGCAAGCCTCAAGAGTGAAGCTATGAGTGTCGGTACGCAAGGTGATGCCGAACTTTTAAACCTAGATCCTCTATCTGCCAGTAGCTGTGTCTGTTAGTAAAGCTAGGTGTACCCCAAGCGTCGTGCTAAGTCCGGCAAGTATGTTCATCTCCCTTCATAAGTAGATGCGCATCATAGGTATACATTAGGGGTACAAATCTATGATCTGCATTTATAATGCAAGTTACTACAGGAGTTGTGACCGTGTAGAGAGTGTAACTTACACACTCTCCGACGCCCGTGCGTGCTTGGCACAAACTGATCAGGGCGAAAATTAGGCAAATGGGCGAATAGTTGACTATGTCGAGCATCGAAAGTCTCGCACCTCCAGCGAATAGGAATATGAAGTGGTTTTCTGTTGAGTGCTTAATGAACGGGAAAAGGTAAGTTTTTTTGTTATAGTCACTATTATCCATCAAAAATAGAGAAAGCTCCCTTTATTCACAAAATCACCTACATCGATTTTAATGTCGTCGGCGGCACTTTGTGCTTGATAGCGTAAACTCGTAGGATCATCCTCTGTTTACCTTGTCTCATGTTCGTATTTTAACTACACCTTGACCGTAACGAGTAACTTTGGAACTCACTATATTCCAACATCACTATTTTACACACAGCGCACGAATAACTTTCTAGTAGCCAACCGACATGGGTGCGTTGACTGTCAAAAATAACCCAATTTCTTGGACTACATTACTCAAATTATAGGCAAGCCGCAGGGCCTCTCCTCCTATCAAATTGACCAACAATTATTCGATGCAATAGTGTCATGAGTATCACTACCCTGTTTCTTACTGCTGTGACATTGAGAGAAACATCTTAGAGTGTACAACACAAGTCTAAAAAGAACAGTAGATCGTAACGTGATACTTCCCAACCTGAAAATATCGGTCAGCAATTAGAGATGTTACAATGATTGTTTGTAACGACTCGTTTCGGGTGGGTGGTACCGATCCTATCGTAAAAATTTGGACGGTTATATTAGGTATTGTATTGCTTTAGGCAGCTTTTCACATTGCTGCTTTGCAGTTCTAGGCGATCACACATGCATCTGAACGCCCTTGATCCAATATCCACTTGACGACCAGCGAGGTTCGGATCTCTATACTGCTGTATCACCCTGCTTCTTTTTATAAAATCATTAACAAGTTTTATCCGATTCGTCCAACCAAATGTCGCTGCTTGCTTCTCGAACAATTCATGCTCTTTCCGCAAAACGGAAGAATATGGGTTTGATAACGCTTTCATTCTACCATACCTGTACTGGGTATACCCACATCTCGTTCGCGGTTTTATGATCGCTGACGGTGAGACAAGCAAAGTTATCTCGAAGGCATTACCGACAGCGATACAAATCATATACAACCCTAACTAGTTAATGAGGGTTGATGTGACTCCACAACGGTGTAATGTAGTATTACACCGTTGTGGAGAAATTAACTTAAAACCTTTAATTTGCTTAGAGTGCGATGGTGGTACGGACCGGAACGAATGAGTGATCCAGCTCGAAATGTGGACTCAAGCTTTTGGCTCTGTTGCAGGCTTATAGCGATGAGTGTGGCGCGCGCAAGACTGCGAACATGTATTTTAATTGGCCATTCTGACCCTTTACATTCCATTCGATTAGAAGGGTCGAGGATGCTATCAGGCAGCGAGACGGGGATTAAAGATATTCTACATGCATTGAAGACGTTTTATAGAGCTTTTCTATGATGCAGTAAAGCTGATGCATACGATTTCTTCCGGTATCATTTACTTATGCACACCGCGCACAACTAGCTCGAGCTTGATTGCTTCTTGTCAAGTTGGTTCCTGAAGTCGCGTTGAAGAATACGCATGCCACTTACGGATTCCGCTGACATATCTTTCTCGTTGGCATACAGTAGAAGTTTCGCAATCCACTTGAGATGCTCTTTGAGTTCTTCAACACTTAATCCATTCTCCGCATCCGCAGCGTTACCAGTTTTCGGCTGGACAGCAACTCTTGCAGACTCCACTGGGGTGCAAAAGTCTTCGTCCGTGGGGTCGTCCATGATTACACTCTCTTCAGGCAGATTGAGTAATTCTTCCACTGATAGTGGATTTGTTGCATGCAAGTAGGTCAGCATCACCGCCAGCTCTTCCGAAATTGCATCCTCCTGTCCGCGGCAATCGCTCGTATCGTCAAAAGAATTTGAAAACAGCAGAGCAGCGTCCTGCCAGCAACGGACGATCAGGGACGACGGAACTGCGTTCCAACACTCATTGCACCACGACATCGCCTGTCGCACGCCAACACTATCAAGCTTAACAAGTGTGCGCGCGCCAGCATCAGCGTCCATGTGGTCCAGCATATGCTGGATCTGCCGTTGACGGTACCGTCTCTTGAAAGCAGCCACGATCCCAGCAGTCAAAGGATGCAGATTTTTGACAGTTCCAAGCGGTAAAAACACCACCTCGACATTCTTCAACTCTTCTGCATTGAACCCAGCGTGCACTGCCGAGTGATCGATGATCAATACACACTTCCGCTGCTCTTTGCGAAACTTAGCGTCCAGGTTGGTTATCCACTCGAGAAAAAACTCCCGCGTCATCAACGCGTGTTGATTGCACTTGTAGTTCTCCTCTGAGGCCGTCAAGTGCGTGAACCCGCGTGGTTTCTCGGTCTTTCCAATCAACAATAACGGCAATTTCTCCGATCCATCTGCATTACAACACAATGCAATTGTCAGTCGTTTCGACGTCTGTTTGCCGGTTTGATCCGGAAACAGAGTGAAAAGTAACCCTGTCTCGTCCATACTAAAGACATTGCGGGGATCAAAAGCATGCAGTCGACGTTGCAGATCAGCCACAGCCTCTTCAGACGACGTCTTGCTTTCTTTGTGGGACTTTAAGCTCCCAAAACCGTGACGTTCGTTAAATTTGTAGAGCCATCCATTCGAAAATGTCAACGGCGTGTCAATCTGTAAAATTTCCGCAAATTTGACGGCTTTGAGTCGAATCGACTCCCCCGTGACAGTGACCCCTGTCTCTTCACAATAAGAGACCCACCTCGCCAACGCCGTGTCGAGGCGGGGAAACCGAACTGTACGTCGCGACTTGCACGTCAACTCCTCAGTTGTCATAATTTCCAGATCGGGTTTCCGCTTGAGGAGTTTTGAGATCATGGCTTGCGACGGTTTGCGTGGCAACTCGAAGGTCTCGTGGGCCCAGGTTGCCAGCTGGTTTTGCGTCAGATTGGGGTTTTGCTCCCGGTGAGTGCATATTTGAAGGCGCTGGGCGTTCGTGAAGGTTGTGCGCGGGTGAATAGTCTTCTCGGGAGGGTCTCGGGTCGATGCCATCGTTACCGGGGGGTCGATTCTTCGATGAAAATTTGACCACAGGACTCGGGTACCATCATATGGGTACAGCTTTTTTTTATAGGTAAATAGATAGAATGCAATCATGTAGTTGTAAAAATGGACTTGTGTACCGTCATGGAAGTAAAGCGTTCTAGGATGCACAAATGGCTGAGCCGGATTGTGCATCCGTGGATTACTAACTACAAACTTAGCTTAGATAGAAATACATTCATGTCATTGCTTATGAGACACCTCTCACAGAGCCGCACTATTTTCGACATCATTCCAAGTGATTGACGGGTTATTCACTAATAAGAATATGTTTGACAAGACCAAGTTCCTTAACGTCTGGTATGATGTTTGTCCGAATGAGCAAGCAATATTTACAATTGTGGAATTATACTCACCGTTGAAATGTCGTCAAAGCAATGATTTTACCCTTGCAAGGTTTGCGAGAGGTCAGTTCTCTACTGTAGGCATCGACCTGCAAAATTAAAGGTCGCCAACGTAGCTGCCAGCGCTTGCCTATGAACTTTGTCGCCCTTTAATTTGGCAGTTGTCGTTTTAAAAGTGCAGCAAGTTCGTAATGAATGTGGTTCTAACGAAGTCTTGCTACTGCTGTGAGCACCATAGATACGAACTTTCTGGCGACATGTCCCACAGTAGATTGCTAGTTCTCCATGTAGACATTTATTTAGTGGATGGGGTCCGTGACAGTCAGCATTTGGTGCCCCTCATGTAACAAATAGACATTAACATTTGCAGTTATTCAACTAGATTTTTCGCAACCTTTGCGCTTCGATTTGTAGATGGGACGATCAGCTACTTATTCGATACATGGTACATACAATTCCCATCGCTTATGTTCCAAACGAAAGACGGAATTACCGTTGGTGCCATTTGTATTAAATATAAATTGAAACCAGAAAGAAGCTGCGAAAAAGCTGGACACGCGTCCTAAGATTTGTATGTGGTTGAACTTGCTAGCGTTCGTAATGCGTGTGCAACATATCATGACAGAATTGGCGACTCCAGCCAGCCAAAATCTGCGGCATAGTTCACAATTTGGTACCGATCCGAACGTGTTGTATTATTACATAGCTGCAAGATTTTAACAACGTGTGAGTTTAATGCTTGCCGACTGTAGTCAAGTGAGACCAGTGAACTTCCGTGTAACGAGTCTAGAATATTCCCGCTTCGTATAATTACCTTCGAGCATTTCGCACCGTTTGCTTCGCTTTTCATGATAATATCACACTGCTGAAAATCCAGGATGTTCTATGTAGAAAAAAGCTTTGAGTCGACTGATGTGCTACTACCGATCGCGCAGATGATTGAAGACACGACATGACGAACCCTTTTTATGAGTGGCGAAAAGGGCCTGCAATTTGATAAAGCATTAGCGGAGACCGAGATATATATGTGACAAGCATAGGTAATTCAATAAGATTGAGCTGTGCTCAGCTTCAGCTAAACGTATGTTCTTCGCAGCAAAATTCAGGCGACAATGGTGTTGTGTTTACTCTCTGTATTCAGTACTGCAGCGCTCAAATGTATCGAATTGCGCATGGTTAATACGAGAAAACAGGCCGATCAAAAGTTCTAGCGCCTATCGGACCGAAAGGGTACAATAATCCCAGTCACTTTACTAATTAACTGGAAACAGGATTTGTAACTTGCAGCTAGGCATAATAGAGCTATTTCAACTATCGTACCGTTGTAGACACATCGAAGCTCGTTCTATTCTATCATCACCAGGCATAGAACATAGCTGGACTTCTATTAGTAGTGTAGCTTACATTTGAACACACAGGTATGTACAGAGCGTGAAAATTGACACAATTAGGTGATGTCGCTGCCTACCAAGATGTGGTGCCAACAAGACGCATCATCATCGCATTTATTCTGATGCATTTTCTCATGCAAGCCAGCTGGTAGAAGGAGCTGGCTTATTACAGTTGAGATCAAATCCCGTCATGCATCCTGCATCGTGTCTCCCAGTTATTCCTCCACCTAAAGAATGCCAGTCCCTTCAAATGACATGAATCAACATATTAATGAATGAATGACGTGATATTTGCAAGACCAATCCTCCATTACGCTACTTGATACCTGTTGAATGCATTATGCACGATGGTGAACGTGTACGTAGATCATTAGCAAAAAGAGAAGTAACGGTGAGGCTAGCTTTAGTGTGCAACTTTTTGTGTTCCAGCTCGAGAAGACTCAACTGTAATGACATTGATCGAAAAATCTCAGGCTCGTAGACATGTAGCACGTGGGGAGAGGTAGGTGGGACGTATAAAATAATGCAAGCCCTAACGGTTGAAACTTTCGCCGGTTTATACACTGCGAATAGTATGCGCCGTATCCAATCTTTCCATACTTTTTCAAGGTGTAGGATATGAGGTCGTAGCTGTCAGATTTTACAAACAAAGTAGGCATCTACAGTTGAATCAGCATGCGTATGGGGCCTTGTCGATCAGAGAGTTGTCCGTCTGGATACCATTTTCCATTTTCGTATAAATGTACACATCTCGTAGCAGTTTGAATAATGATAATGCATTCCTCAAGCGTCGACCTCAGATCAAACGGTTAAATGATAATAGTAATGGTAACCAAAAGCTGTCTCGTGGGCCCCACGAGACAGACTTATTGCAAACAATAGCAAATGAATGAAGCTTACGCATCATGAGTAGATTTCAGCAGACTTACGATTCGGATTGTATTAGTAAAGGGATACGTTGTTTCTTAACGTACATATGCAAGGAATAATTCGGGGACTAGTTTTTGATCGCCGAAGCTTGATAACGTAGTGCTACTGATTTTTTACAGAAACATCAGACACGTGTTACCTATAGAAAGTGCAGAAATGCTATTGGTTCTCTCATTTTCATATTGCTAAAACAATGTTGGATTCATAGTTTTGTGGAAAAATACTCGTCGCAGGTCACCCGTGGGAAGGGCGTCGAGAGCTGAGTTTTACAATGCACGCACTTGGCCATAACGGTCACTTGTCACAGCAAACTTCGATGAATTATGCTTCATCTTATTCCCAATGCACTAGCATACTTTAACGGCCGCTTGTCACTGCAAACTTGGATGGCATATCCTTCACCTCAGTCCTTAAATTACCGTGAGCTGGGAAGAAGGATCAGTCGCACAATGAAGCGGTCCCCACTTTTACTGCTGCTGGCACTGGTGGTTTGCTCCTGCGTTTTTTGTCGCGCGTATAGCTTGCAAAGGGTCAACAGTGAAGGTATTGAAGTATAGCATGCGGTTTTTATACCACCTCATGTATGAAAACAATATATACTCCGCGTCATTTGTAGGGAATCGCTTTCGCCAGCTACAAGAGCAACCAGGAGGCATGCAACAGGTTGAACCGTCTGTGCAATTCAAACAGCCAGCCCAGCCCGAATATTCCGATGTGCAACGTGAATATGGCGGAGATGACGATGACGATGACGACAATGGCGACGATGAGGGCGGTAATTTCGAAAACGCGCGTCGGTGCTTCCCTGGATCCTGGAACTGGCCGCGTTGCCGCGACGGTGGAGGTGGTAAGTGCTATCCGGGGTCGTGGAACTGGCCCCGCTGTCGTTTTGATGACAGGTGCTTTCCTGGCTCATGGAAATGGCCACGGTGCCGCTTCAAACTGTGAAGCGTTGAGCATCAAAGCCTAGTGTGCTGTACCAGGAAGAGTATTCCCTGCTCTTGCATGAAGCAATTGACACGAGAGCGTGAAGTAATGGCGTACGGGTGTAGTCCTGCTAGCAGTAAGCAGTCTCGTCAGTGTCTTGGAATGTAGGACCCACCCCAAAAATTGAAATTTCTTTGATGTTCTTTTGCGTTCACCGTTCTTCATTTCCGCGTCCTTCGTCACTCGCGTACAAGTAATTTCGTGCGAGACCGATTTCACCCGTTCTTTTGCTAGCGCGCACTTGTACGTTGTACCAGTCACGAATCTTTGAACCCTTGTACTTGATAATGCTTGGTGGTCGTTTAACATGAGGCAGCCCTCCACCTCTTCTAAGCTCGGTGTTATTCAAGAACAGGTAGAACTGACATCATTACCTCCTTCCTTCCAATGCGCCCCATCATCTAATGTATCAGTGAACCTTTTCAAATTTTTGGAGATCGAGCCTTGTCAGATGAGGAGAGCTTAAATTTCGTACCTACTTTGACTTGATGCTGAAAGTGCGGCCTCAATTTTTTTTTAAGAAAAGGTGCTATTATTAGCGGTATACAAAGTGTGCCACTAGACTTGGGTAATCATAAAAACATTGCCACATCATAAATCTTCCGATCTCCGATTGTATTAAGCGCAAAGCCCTCAACTTCCTACTCATGTACTTTCAAGTCTACGCTCGATGATGGCGTCAAGTGGCTGATCTTCTGGATAGTAACGATAATTTCGACCGCTGTTTTTAATTCATTTTCGGTTGAAGCATCCCGTTCGATCGCAATAAATTCTTACTACCACTGGCAGTTCGTTCAATCTAGCTCAATATCATGTGATGAGATAATAATGGATTTACAACGCACGTAAAGTACAGTCATTCTCGATGAAATCCAGTCCAGTAATCTTTCGTTGTTTAATCACAGTTCACTGGCGCATAACATCATATTGAATGTATTGAAGTGTGCACCGAAAACGAGTTCCGTTCCAACAGCAACCGCTATGATAACACGAGCTAGATCAAAAAGCTGTTGTATTCACGTTTTATGTTGCAACGTATCGAGCGAGTTTTCTGCATGCAAATCTTGAAAATATCCCTGACCCTGCAAATTAACGTTTGCCGACTAAATAAACGTGAGCCCTTTACGTGACCAGACGGGCCTTGTATTTAATACGCTCATAGCTCTAGCGCACAGTTCATGTGCATTCAATGTTTCTAACATGGTGCATTTAACGTAAGGTCTTAGGCACACGTGCCGACACTGTTGTCAGTGTAGTTGCTGACGTTACTGTCACCGTGAATTGCTTCCATTATAAGAAGTGCAAACGAAAAGCTCTTTGTCACAGTAACAGGTAAGGACGAGCTAAAATATAATGGGGTACCTCGAGATGGAAAATATCACTTGCTGCACAAGTTACCGAACACATCTTGAGCTCGATTGTCGTCAGCAAAATATCATTAGAAGCTTTTTGTAGGTTACTTGGATATTTTGCGAAGGACATACGTCATTGGCCATGTCTCTGGTCACAGTTCGTTTTACACTCTACACATGTCTTTGTTGTAACGGTACACCTTACTTTACATGTAGATGGTCTGCTCGTGCTGTTTAGCCCACCCCATAAGCTTATTTTGGCCTCCTTTACCTTTAACTTCTCGTCTCGGAATCGGTAATCGGTAATCAGACACATCTGACTATAAATTGACAACAACAAAATAGATTGAGACACTAAGCCATAACCGAACTCGTGATTACAAAAAGCATTATTTGCTGTGTATTTCTACGCTTAAGCTATTACGAAGATTCGTAACCGAATGACAAATTTATGGCTGTTCTTGAATTATTGCGTTCAAGAAAAACAAAATAGACCCTGTCACTGTCTTATCTTCCGCCAATTTATGCAAGTTTTGATTGAAAATTAGCGTGGTATGAGCCATTAATAGTATAAGGTGTGATGTAAATGTGACTTATGGGAAACTGTAGTATACATGCAATACCATATTCGAAGTTTTGCTGAATAACCCATTCGGTCTCTGACATTCACCATGGCAAAAGTTACAACAATGCAATCATAAAGGACGACAATTTGCCTGAAGACTATATGTCAATTTTATCCAGCCAGCTTTATCGTCAAATTTAAGCGTTTAATAGCCGGTACTATAATCGTAGGAGGGATAATACGACACACGAATGGCATATTGGTCTAATAATCTACGATCTTAGTGTATCATTAAACCGACAGAAGCACATCATTTAAAGCCAAAATGCATATTATGAATATCCAGTAGGTAATGACGGCGCGTAAAGTTTGCTGTTGATGATAGTTTTGTTGTGCTGCAACGAGCATTGTTAATAATACTGTTTAGTTGTTGTTCTTTATTCATCATGCAGTGTTTAATATATAGAGCTTGAACAAAAACTAAAGTTAGCTTTATCAATGCGTTTTGAAGCGGTTTGTGGCACAACTAATACAAATTTTTGATGTGGTAAAAATTGATGAAACATAGTGCATTTGAAATGTGATGCAAATTTAGAATATTTCCCGAGTTAATTCAGCAATCGTTACATCAACGGAGTTTCTTGCCCGACTTATATCAGACCTCAAGACCTAAGCTTTAGAATGACTAAACAAGCGCGTCTTCGAGCATAATTTATACCTACTTAGTGATGGGGTGAGTCCGTTACATGATGTTGACTACGTCACATATCTATTTGAACAAAATCTTAGCTCATGATACATTAGAATTGGTGTTGTAGCCGACAATATTTAGCTGCGATTACAATCACCTTTCTTACAGGGTGATTTAAGTCCACGATATTGATTGTTAAGGCTATGCCACAACAGACGTTCGCAATCAGTGTTGAGCAGATCCTTGTAATGTATTTTTTACACGGAAATAGTTGTGTAAAGTAAACGAAGACTGCACTCGGAGTATTTTATTAAACGTAATACGTTCATCCATTGAAATCACTTAACGAGATTGTGTAATATTAAGCTTCCTCTTCACATACGACTACGTGACATTTCGATTGCCTCCAAGCACTGTGGTTAGAATATAAAATCTTTAATGTTTTTCGTGTAAGCGGGGGTGCCATGTGTATCATACTTCTGTGCTCAATGCTACCTCTTTTATGAGGAGATGAAAACCAATTATTTATACAATCATTCACATTCTCTGCTACATTTGTACTGATTTTCTAGATTAATTGATTCGATCGATTCAATTGATTGAATTGTCTACCTGAATTTAATTTTGTTCAGTTTTCAGCGAAAATTAATCCTTGCTCCTTACTGGACAATTTAGAAAAATACAGTTTGACTTCAAGTTGTTCAATAGCTCACCAGGCGCATTGCGTTTGCATCAAACAACTTCCCAGCCCGTGTCAGCAATGTGATTGCGTGCAACAGTATCGGACCCATCCGCTTATCCGGAACATCAAGGTGCGTGCTTTTTAACTGTATCGTCTCGATAACATGCTTTCTAATTGTGGGAAAGCAAGCACTCCCTTTCAGATGCATCGGATGCGTTATCTTCTCAGTTTGTTAATATCATCATATCACATTTTTGCTCACATTTTTGTTCTGTATCAGCTTGCACAATCCATTATTTAGCGTTTATATGGCCTACTGGAAGTAAGTTGTCATAGCGAACACTCCTCTCCAGGTCAACGTCCCAGCTGCCAGGTTTGTTCGTCATTGTGGGTGATTTGTGGGTGTATACTAAGTATAGTAAGCTATTAGAATGGTTTAAGCAGAAGACAGATCGGTTTCACTCCTGGAATGGATGAGCCACAGTTCCCCGGTGGGGGGGTGGGCGACTCGCGTCTGGCGCAGGTATTTGATGAAGTATTCTTCTACCATGCTTTCGGTCTTTCCAAACAGCAGACGCCCATCAACTTCAAGCGCAAGTACAGACGTAAAAGCGACGAACGGCGTTAGTTTATGTATTAATGTGAGGCCATGCTTACCCATAAGTACGGAACACTTGATCTATGCGCTACCGGATGGCGAGTCAAATTACCTTGACTGCTGTACGTTTCGTTATCAAGATACTCTTTGAGCTAATACAAATTAAGCTGCCTAAAAAAGTAATTAAACCTAATACCTCTTTTTGATAACTGTGCGCAGGGACTATTCACAGCCCTTCGATTCGTTTCTTTGTACTTATGAATAGGCTTTGCTAATACCCCAAATACTAGATTCATACATTAGTATCATTTTTGGGCTGGACAAATTTACTCCGAGGTTTGTCCAAGGATAGTAGAACCTGCCACGTGGATAATCAACTACTTTAAACGACAAACCGTGCTGGCTTCGACCTTGGACCAACAGTCCGTAATATTTATCTGATGAATGTTTGTCAGGTCTCTGCCATAATCGAAATCCCTACCTTTTCCGCTCCAACTAGTTTACATACAACATGTCAGTTTTTAAGCAGAGCAATTATGGGAATTCTTCTGCAAGACTTAGACCGATAACAAAGAAATTCAATTACCCCAAATAGAAAATTAGTGAGATGTGCTAACCTTGGTCTTGACCCTCAGCTGCTTCTAGGTTTGCATAACATTATCTCTACATCGCCCTGGTGCACTACTGCAATTTACTAAATTTAACGCTGAGCCTTAACAGCCAGAACAATAGGAATCACGTCATTTTGTTTTTTATAATTAGCTGTCTGTAAGTATCAATTGTAGGAGCTCTTATAATACCTCAACAAAGTTCAAATGATATGTGATACCGCCTTACCTAAGTCAAAGTAGGGGTGCGATTTCTGGATCTGGCCCTCCTATACATATAACTTGGATCGGAGATCTGAATCAAGATGCAAAACACTATGCAAAAGCATCACTGAAAAATGAGTAGAACGTGTTTAGTGTATTTATCAATCCTGTCGGGTATATCGGGCAGCGCGATCGGCCTTAGCTTATAAGCGTCCAGCATTTGCTAAATGTGATCATATTCACCTTTTAACAATATAGAGCCAATTACGTGTATGCGTCAGAATAGTGACCTGGCCAAATAGTGACTCAAGGTGTGGCTGTATTGTTATTTTGTGGAGACAGGTTAGATCCCACTTATTACAAAATATGAGGTTCACCTGGCTTTGTGTATAAACACACAGAGACACAGACAGATACGTACAATTTATAATTTAAAAGCATCCATCTTGCGCACAGTCACTAATAGCTTCACTATCTAAACTCGAGATTAAGAAATATTCCGGATATTCATTGGGTTTTGTAACGGAGCATTAAATTTAGCTTTTGGACCTTTTGTGACCTTGATCTACAAAGGCCGATGTCAGCAACTATTTAATTAAGGATAATATTTATACTTTAAGTGCTGGATTTTAATGACATCATTTTGTTCTAAGGTCACAATTTATATCCTGCAGTGTTCAAGGCTTCTGTCAACAGCTGTGGATCAGCGTAAATGCTAAGCCGAAGTAATCGCTAGTCGGATATTACACATAACATTTTTATTGCAAAGTATTACACTTCACTTTATTATCCATTATTGAAGGCGTCAGAAGGGTCGCCAAATTTAGACTTACAACTTCACCATCGCTACTAGGCTGTCGCCTTGAGTATTTAATGATGGAATTTAAGGTGCTAATAATCTCTCACTCTGATTGGGATTAGGTTTTTGGCGAGAACCATGTGTGTACTGCATTTTTATAAAGAGTAGTAACATTTGTCAGCTGAATTCATTGTTTTCTGTTGTATGTTGAAAGGTGTAACGGGGTCACACTAGCCATTGGCTAAATTAGTCAAAGACCTCCCATAAATGATATGGATGAATGTGTGTGACCTTCGATTTTATATCAGCAAGAGAATATGGATTGATCGATATTCCCAGGTTTACGGTACTTACCGTGTATGTACCTTCATCATTTGATGACTGAGTGATGTGCCAACCATCCATTTAGTTCGAATACTATTATTTGTATTAGTTCTAGTTCAGTATAATATAGGGTACTTAAAGTAGGACTTTCCTCGATATAAAATCTAAATAAAGTTCAGTTCTCATTTGAGCAGAAGTCCCTAGGTTCCCCCCCCCCTTTCGCACATTTTGCCTTGCAGTTCCTTAGAACTGCCGTAGCTTAGAGAGTCCTTCGACTCCTATTCCCCTGCACATTGTGCTTATGGTTCTTTAGAACTACACAGTAGTTGAGTTGTTAGCTCGTAGAGTCCACCCGAGTTCCGTAGAACTGGGTGGCTCTGTAACTTAGTGTATATTAGTTCCGTAGAACTATTGAGCTGTCAGCCGTAAGCCGTTGGCTTGTTAAGTAAGTATTCCTCTGACTTAAAGAGATGTGTAGCTCCGCTACAATTGGTAACACTTTTAGTCAATCCTCTGTTTTAATCTCTCTAGCGCTGCGTTTTTATCTAGTTCTGTGTTCCTGATAACACCAGAGGTATCCTCCTTGACACGAAATTATGTATATTACTTAGCTTAGCTCTTTCTGGCTAACGACGACTTGCCTGGCACTTTGCACTTATTTGACTGATCTATTCGTGCACGCGGTTGCAGCTAACCTGCTAACCGTTACCTTCGTCTGTCGACTCGTCCCATTCTGATATCCGTCGTCTCCCTTATCCACAGTTTCAACCGACGGACGGTAAATGTACTGTAGACGTTCCAACGGCTTCAAGCTGAGAACATATTACAACACCCTACACCTGAGTCGTTTCGACTTATCCTCTGTGAGAGATGGAGGGTCTTGACTACCTCTCGGAGGCTCAACGTATCGCGCTTGTTAAGCTTAGATCGTTGACAGGGGTCGAGCAGGTCGACCACATTGTGGCCCAAGGCCCAGACGTGCTTAATGCACGTCTTGATGCATTTTTGCAGTTTGAGGCCACGCGGATAGGGCAGGTCCACGACCACTTGGCCTCAGCCGTACCTACACAGTACTTTCCAGTACCTAACAGTTAGTCAAAGACTCGTCCGCTCACTCTTAGTTTTAAGACTTTCGAGGGGAAATAGGGGGAAAGTCTCCTCTTCTGGATACGAGAAATCGATATGGCTATTGAATCCGCATTGCTTCAATAGGAGCGACAGAAAGTTGGCCTAGCCATTTCTAAGCTCGGTGGTAGAGCCAAAGAATTGGCTCTTACCTGTGATACGTCGGTTAGCGTTGCTTTTCCCACATGGGATTCGCTTAAACGATAGATGTCTTGGATGTTCTCGTCACCGATCCATTCGTATCGTGTTCGCTCTCGATTCCTAGCCGCCAGGCTAAGAAAGTGAGAATAATCGGAAGTTGTCCAAGAGTTGCAAACTCTCATAGATGCTATGTAGCTGGACTCTCTTCCATAGTAAGTCCGTATCACCATTTTTATAAAGGGCTTCAGTACGGGATCGCGAGGACGGAAGTCTTCCGCGTCCACCCCTCAACGTTTATAGGGGCCGCAGATATAGCGTTGAATGCTGAGTTCATTTTTAAACCGCTCGCTATGGTACTCATGGGCATGCCCACAGATCATTTAACGGGTCTGAGCCCATAAACCCCAGCCATTCTGAAGGAGAAGAGAGAGATCTCGCGGCTGTCCAACAGCAACGTAACATCCGTAGATGTTACATGTGCGGGAGCACCAAGCACTTGCGCCCTTAGTACTCACTGCGGAATCTACGTCAAAGTCGTCCAAGCCGCGATCCGCCTCCTAACCCGAAAGTGTGTACGGAGCGGGAAAACAGCAACTCCCAGTAGGCGCGGGGCGCCCTACTGGGGAAGAACTTGATTCTGCCGAATCTCTAGGTAGTAAAGATGGACAGGGCTTAGCCCCAGACGGTCTTGTGGAAGTTTCCACGAGACGTGAGTATAAGCCTGGCTTGTTAGTGGCCTCGGCTAAAATGAAGGGCTTCAAAGAGCCGTGGTTACTTTAATTGACTCTGGAGCGTCAGGCAACCATGCTCGACGCCAGTCCCTAGAGGGATGTCAGCAATATGCTGAGGCGCTGAAAGCCCATGAGGGTCATGTTATCACTGTTCACTTAGCGACATGTACTTGTGTCACCGTACCTTAAGTTCCGTTGAACTTAGGTGTGAAATTTTTAGATTTTGATAGTATAAAGTTGTCTTGTCCTGGGTTTGGACTCGAGATATGATCTCATCCTTGGGATGGCTTGTCTATATCGCCATGAACTATGAATTGATTAAAGGTTGAATACCTAAGGCGCGACGCTAAATTTCCCTAGTGAAGCTTTGGAGAGTCATGAACCCACCTTTGCTAGGATACAAAAGCTCTATTGGCGCGCGCCACTGACGGAGTCTGTCAGTGTGCTGGACATTGGAGTGTATGAGCAGTTAACTTTGATGTCATTAAAAATAGTGAAACGGCACGTATTTCGTTGAGTGATTTTAGTAATGACAGTGAATCACTGAATGCTGGAAGCAGTGATGGCTTTAAGCCGAGTCGTCCTGGGTGTTATCCCTGTGATGCGCGTGGAGTGGCACGTAAACATCCACAGAGTGATGTTGGCCGTGATGGCACCCCACTAAATGTCGGTAATGACATTGCTGGCGATACGCCAAGGCGTCAAGAGCTATGCTGAACAGATGCGAATAGAGTGAACTTCCACAGAGTGAGGTCGGCCGTGATGGCGCCCCACTAAATGTCGGTAACGACATTGTTGGCGATGCGCCAAGGCATCAAGAGCTATGCTCAACAGATGCTAATAGAGTGGATTTCTACAGAGAGATGTCGGCCGTGATGGCGCCCCACTAAATGTCGGTAATGACATTGTTGGCGATTCGCCAATGTGTCACGAGCTATGCTCAACATATGCGAATATAGTGGTAAACTGTCCACAGAGTGAGGTCGGCCGTGAGGGCACCACACTTAATGTCGGTAATAACATTGGCTCTCTGATAGAGCAGGTTGAGGTTGAAGATACCCTTCACCTCGTGGAACCGGATGTTCACGTTGAAGTGTTTAATTTCTGTACAGAGAAGACAACGACGCCAGATGGCGGCTGTTAAAAGAAACAGAAAAGGATTCTGCCATAACAGAAAAGGATTCTGCCATTACCCAGAAGGACACTAGTGAACAGTTGTACACATTAGTCAATGAAGTGTCGGGTGCGATTGGTGGAGAAGTTGGCCTCAAGGCCCTCCCATCGATTAACGCTCTGCTAGAGCTAGACAAAATCTCTGTAGACGAATTTCATCAAGCCTAAAAGGCTGGTGCTTTGTCTGATATGGTGGTCCTTAGACCTGATCTTGAGTTGAATCATCATCCCTTGTAGATGAGACAGTCCTTGAGGACATAAGAGTTGCACTCAGTGCTCGCAGTGGATCTGTATTTTTGAAATATCCTTCGGATCCCTTCTATCCTTTGGTAAAGGAATTCTCAGGACGTGGTGTGTCATAATCCACCATTTTACTCTACCCCCCGACAGAGGTGTGCGTCATGAAATTGACCTGGTCCCTGGGACCAATACTGTGTCACACGGCAATGGCCATTGCCTAAGGAACAGTGTGACGTCATTGACGAGTTCTTTCGTGCAAAGCACGCGGCAGGCATGGTGCGGGAGAGCAAATCTCCACACTCGACACCGACATTTTGTGTCAGAAAGCCCAATGGTAAGTGGCGTATTGTGCACGCTTACAATAAGCTCAATGCGGCCACTATACCGGCGCAGACACCTGTATCTAGAAAGAGTATTCTTCAGAACGCTATGGTGGGTTGCACCATGTTTAGCGCACTCGACTAAGTCGATGGTCATTATCAACTGCTCAGGCGAGCGAGTGGTATCCCGCCCACAGCGGTTAGCACGCCGAGTGGCATGCTTTCGCAGTGGCTTGTTATGCCTCAGGGACTTTCTAATTCCCCGGCTACATTATATCGTCTCTTAACGCAGTTGTTTCGCCCTCATAGAGGGTATGCACAATTCTATTTTGACGATATTTTCGTCCGTAGCCGTGCAGAACAAGGAAGATCAGATGTGGAATGGGAAAATGGAATCACATTGATCATTTACGAGCAGTGCTCGGGTGCATGCGCACCAACAAGTTGTATGTAAATGCATTTTTGGTGCTAAAGAAATTCCTTGTCTAGGGTGCTTCATTGGAAAGCGCGGCCTACGGGCAGATCCCGCTAAGGTAAAATCCATTGTGGATTGGCCGGTTCCGTCTAACCCAAAAGACTTGCGTAAATGGCTTGGTTTAGCCAATTACTTACACAAGTATAGTGCAAACTATGCTGACATGGCAAGGCCATTTACCAACCTCCTTAAAAAGGACGCGGTTTGGTGTTGGGACTCGGTTCAGGCACAAGCTTTTCAAGCTGTTAAGGAGAGTCTCCTTCATGCTCCAATTTTGGCTTTGCCTGACCCGGAGCGACCTTTCACTGTCGTCTGTGACGCATCTGATTTTGCCATTGGCAGTGCATTGTTGCAAACTGATGTCGATGGACATGAACGCGTCATTGCGTATGAGTCTCGCCAGCTAAAAGCTGCTGAAAAGAACTATCCAGTTCATGACAAAGAGTTACTTGCAATGAAGTATGCTCTTGTCAAGTTCAGAGTACATCTACTTGGCTCCAAGCCGTTTGTAATCTACACGGATCATGCGTCGTTGCGCACTGCGACCCAGTCGCCTCATCTCTCGCAACGTATGGCCCGTTGGATTTCATTCTTTGCTGAGTATAACTTCGAGGTGAAGTATAAACCAGGGAAGCAAAATGCTTTGGCCGATGCGTTATCACGCAGGCCGGATTATGAGCTTGCTCATGTTACGACTCTGTCGTCTTCTTTCCCTTGATTTAATCCGTGCGGCTTATGCCAAGGATGATCAGTGTGTCGCGTTGTTACGCGCACTCGGTTGTGATGAGTTTAAAGACTCGGACAATATAATTGTCGGCACGCTCGCGTGCAGGGCTACATCGATATTCTTTCGATCATGGCCTCTTGTGCTATAGCACGGATGTGGCGGATACTCCGCGCATCGTCGTACCTCATGATGAGGAATTGAAGTATCGTATCCTCTTTGAGGCGCATGATACAGCTTTGAGCGGTCATCTCGGTCGAGAGAAGACCTATGGCTCGGTCAGCCAACACTATTGGTGGCCCAAATTATATAAATGGGTGAGCACATATGTGCGTACGTGTGAAACGTGTCAACGGGTCAAACCCTCCGCTCATGCGGCTGCGCCTTTGGCGAGTTTGCCTATACCCACGGGTTGTTGGGAATCCATCAGTATGGACTTTGTGTTTAGTTTGCCAACAGATTTGGACGGCAACACTGGTATTGTGGTCTTTGTTGACCGTTTGAGTAAGATGACTCATTTAGCGGCTGTGCCGGCTTCGATTGATGGTGAACGTACAGCACAGCTGTTTATCGATCGCGTGTTTCGTCAACACGGTTTGCCTTTGGCAATTGTTTCAGATTGCGATCCTCGCTTTACGGGGAAATTTTGGAAGTCCATCTTCAAGGTGCTCGGCACCAGATTGGACATGTCCACCGCGGATCATCCGCAGACCGATGGTCAAACTAAACGTGTTAATCGTGTCATTGGTGACATTTTGCGCAGCGTTTGCGCAGATACGCCTAGGCGTTGGAGCTCTATGCTTCCGGTGGTCGAATTTGCCATGAACAATTCGGTCCATGCCTCGACTGGCTACACCCCGTTCTATGTTAACGGCCTCACCCATCCGCGCGTCCCATTGACGCTACCACTCCGTGGTTCCGGGCTTGGTGGGGGAGGGATTGCCGATCGGCTTGCTGATGTCAGCCCTGCCACTGTTCAGAAACAGGTTGGTGAGTTCCTTGCAACAAGGTTGAATGTCTTACGACATGTGCGAGATGCAATGGCTGATAGCCAAGATAAACAAAAGGAACAAGCAGATGCCAAAGGCAGAAATTGCATTGAAAGTTATGAGGTCGGAGACCAAGTCTTGCTAACCGCTATAAATCTACCTACAAATGTAGTGTCAGCTGTTTTAAAACGAAATTGCGTCCGCGCTTCATTGGACCTTTATAGGTCGTGGCCAAGAAGGGCCTTGCGTATACGCTCAACTTGCCGCGCAAATTGCGTACACATCCCGTCTTTTATGTCGGCCTGCTTAAGCCATACCGGGACCCGTCCCATGTTGACTTGAAGGCGCTTGCGCCGCGTACATTGGCGTTGCCACAGGATGTTGCATCCGAATTAAGAGGTCAAGTTGAGCCTCGACACGAGTCTGACGTGACTCCATCATCTGAAGACGGGCGCGATCGCCTTCCAACGTCGCCAGACGAGATCGGGCTTCGCCCAGGGCGTTCTGAGTCTGACCCAAAGTCTCACGGAGATCCTCCACTTTCTTCGCCAACTTCAGCATGGCTTTCAGCCGATACTCCGACCGCCACCGGCGTTGCTTGATAAGCAAGGGAACTTACAGTTCCATGTGGAGCGGGACTTTAACGACGTCGTCGTCATGGTCACTACCAATATCTGGTGAAGTGGCGTGGGTACCCTGAGTCTGAAAACTCATGGGAGTATGAGGTTCCCCTTCGGCAAGATTGCCCATACGCCGTTGACTTTTTGAGCGCCACGGCCGAGCTCGTCTTGACGAGCGTCACGCTTCTCACTCGTCGTAGTGAGAGCGGGCGAGTTCGTGTCAAAAGATTGACGTGAACTCGCGGCTGCAGAGGCAGCCGAAGCATAGCGGGAGCGTAATACTCCCGCAGACGGCCTCTGGCCTTTAACTTCGCGAAGTCATAGCGAAGCTTTCGCTCTAGACGAACGTCTGCCACACTGGCACTTTCGCGTAGCGCGTGCATGCTACTGAGGCGTCGAACGCCATGCACCCAGCGGATGAACATATCGTCCTCCGCAGTTTCGTCCCCATCTTCGGACATAATGATGGGTATACCCCTAATTTGTGGAACTGGTGTTCCTTGGGCCTGCTTTTGCAGCCGTTCTCTGTATTGACTCAAAGTCATCACAGTAGGTTCCAAGTACCTCTCTCGAAGAGCCTTGCGGCATTCGAGTTCAGTGGGCGTTTTCGCCTCGGGGCCGGTGGCCCATGTTGCCAAAGTATGGCGTGACGCTTGACGAATGAGTTCTTCCACGCCAGGTGGAGTGAACGTATATTCACTGTGTCGTTGCAACGTTGTCTGAACTTCTGACTTGCGCCGTGCGCTTGCCGCTTGATCGAGCATGCGTTGTTGCTCCTCGTCAAGCGGGTTAGTGATAATGGATGTATCCATGGGGGACATTGCTCCCAGCGCTGTTAGCGCAGTCGCGGCACTACGTTCGGGGAACGGATTAGGTGCCGGATGGGGAATGTCCCCACGCACAGGTGTGCTGGGTTTGGATTGCTCCTCCCCCTCGACTTTGGTATCACTACCACTGTCAAAGTCCACGTCCTCGACACCAAGGAATTTGGCTAGAGCCTTATCTTCCAGGAGGTGCCCAGGTCGGTCCATGTGAGTGCGTTACTTTGTAACAAGTCTCAATGGGAGAATGAGTCGAGTGACGTTTGTGGTAACGTCAGTCTGGTGGGGGAGGGTGTAACGGGGTCACACTAGCCATTGGCTAAATTAGTCAAAGACCTCCCATAAATGATATGGATGAATGTGTGTGACCTTAGATTTTATATCAGCAAGAGAATATCGATTGATCGATATTCCCAGGTTTACGGTACTTACCGTGTACCTACTTTGTACCGTCATCATTTGATGACTGAGTGATGTGCCAACCATCCATTTAGTTCGAATACTATTATTTGTATTAGTTCTAGCTCAGTATAATATAGGGTACTTAAAGTAGGACTTTCCTTGATATAAAATCTAAATAAAGTTCAGTTCTCATTTGTGCAGAAGTCCCTAGGTCCCCCCCCTTTCGCACATTGTGCCCTGCAGTTCCTTAGAACTGCCGTAGCTTAGAGAGTCCTTCGACTCCTATTCCCCTGCACATTGTGCTTATGGTTCTTTAGAACTACACAGTAGTTGAGTTGTTAGCTCGTAGAGTCCACCCGAGTTCCGTAGAACTGGGTGGCTCTGTAACTTAGTGTATATTAGTTCCGTAGAACTATTGAGCTGTCAGCCGTAAGCCGTTGGCTTGTTAAGTAAGTATTCCTCTGACTTAAAGAGCTGGGTAGCTCCGCATCAAAAGGAGGTAAACGTTCATTTCTATCACTTATACTACAAAAGGCTTTCTCGTCGCAATTGTATCTTTCTGCCTTCCCTGCATTTTTATCGTGTGATAATTAGCAGTGCTTTTGTACTTGTATCCTCATTTGTTTTTCTTTCAGCGACAACAAGTCGGTCGTCCACTTAAATACGTCGAACATCATACTTTTATAGGACAATCAGGTTGGATACATTTTTTTATTTATCAATCGGAAATTAACTAGCTGTAGCCGATGACAGCAGTTAAACACTCTGTAGAAGCTTCGGTCGAACTAACACTGCAAGAATCGCGCTCGCCGGTGTGCAATGTGAAAGTCGTAATTCATCTTCTTAATATGTAATGTGGGTGACTTTACTAGTGGGTTATATGTACGTTTTGCCACACCTACATTGATGCAAAATCGGTCCCAGTCCCAAGTGTAATATTTGTAATGTTTTACTATAACATCACGACTTGACTTCGATTGTTTTCACTTCCAAAACTATAGCATCTCTGTTTAAAAGCATTAAAAGTTTCAATTTATATAGTCCCTTTGTACTTATTTAATCACCAAAATTCGGTAAAACCTAACCTAATAAAACTTGATATTATATTTCGGCCCAGCATAACTATTCTTAGACATACCGTAGCATTAAAGTACACTTGAAAAGGATATATAACACGGCTTACCTCCACCAGCTTAGTTAATTCTACACCACTACCTTGTATAACGTAACATATTATAGTATAAATTTGAGCTGAACATTTTGTACACGTGATCCCGTTCATTTAATACAGTGCTGTCGATCGACTTCGTGGTAAGAAATCTCTTTAAAAAAGCGATGGCTCTCAAGAGTGATTAATTATTTCAAAGTCTGGTGTGTCAAAAGCCGACATTATAAGCTCTAGTTTTAATTTTTGGATGCCATTCTGAAGGTTATTCAGGTGAATTGCCATACGAGTATTAATAAGAGTGAATATTACCTTGGCTGTAAATCCTTTAAGTCACTTAGGGCCGATTTTCCATGGAAAACCTGCAGCATGATTTGATATGGGTCAAGACCAGAGAGTAATGTCGTCACACAACCTTTTCTACCGATAAAATCTATGGAATTACTGGTATCAAAATGCAAAGACGTGTATTTCGTTTTTGTTCGGAGAACAGTTCGCGTAACGGGGTGTACTGGTACGTACTCTCCAGCAAATCCTCACATAGGTACACAAATCGAAAGATTAATGAAAGTAGAAGTTTAACATTTGTCTTTAATTCAATTACACTGACTCAAAATATCGACTTCATCGCATCATACACAATTGTACTGATAATCTGTTTATGCCCGTTATCACCTCATGGGATGTAATTATTTTAGTGAAATCGTGAGCTCGAATACCACTTGATGTAGTGATGATATTGACGAAAAACGTCCAAAAAACAAATTTAAACTAAACCTTAATTCGCGCATTTGTGAGGCGCGCGGTTCTAACGCTTCCTCGCAGACCTTAAGTGTTTAATTAAGCATTGAAGCTTTTGTCCTGTTACACTTTACGGATGATAAAGGGAGATTATGGCAACAGATTTGAAAATGATCCTTATTTACTCATACGAATAGGTAACGTCTTACCGTCTAAGGCGGGTATATAAGTTATTGGTATCGTTAAACGAGGAGCCGACCTCATCGCACAAAACGTACATCGTGTTGCAGTTTAATTTCGAGGAAACTAGCCCGATCTGATCGAAGTACTGACGTCGTCCACGTTTATTTCTACAATCCACATCATCATGGGCTTTTCCAAGGGTGGATATTGTTGATAGAAAATGCATAAAATATAGCTGTTGCATGGTTGAAGACGTTTGAACCATCGCATAAGATTGGTGCTCTACCCGAAGCCACAGGATAGAGACTCCTGGAATGATTCAAATAGATCAATGTGGTTATTTTTCTTCTTCCACAATGGCGAGTTAATTTAGGATATTCAGGATGTAGGAACGAGCTAGAAAATTTTTGCAGGTACAACGAAATAAGATTGGTCTTTATCATTGCTGATAAATATTGGTTTGAAAAGGCCCGTCAGATTTATCAGCCCTCGAGTGACAACACTCGATACACATATCTTAGCATACGTAAATAATTCGACTTGATCACTAGCAGGTCGATAAAGAACAACGACGGGTTCACCAAAGGCAACAGGACACTGACATAAGGCCTTCGCCATTAAGGATGGGATATTAAATTCAAAAATAAACATGTACACATGTCTACATTAATTTATATATTTTTCCATATATTTGCCAGCCACACATCAGCCCTCCCCATTTAGATAGATGAAGCCTTTACGTAACGTGTGTAAATTATTGGAAAATGTCGAACATCTCGGCTATAAGTTTCCTAACACTCCGTATAGTGCCTTATCTAAGACCTCTAAATATCTGGTCTCCTCAGCAGTTTATCTATATATTTTTAAATATTCGTGAGAATACGATCCCTAAGAATTTGAGTTCAACTCAGTCATGTTTGGGTAGTACAAAGTACAGCAGTAAGATATATTTAGAGCTTAGCAATGTGTGCGTCCATGACAAACGAGCTGATAACATGCGTCTTTTCGTACTAGTAATACTAAGATGTCTTATAAATGCTGGAACAAATCTCTATTGCATGTTTTAAGACTATTACAAACATATTCCAAATTCAAAATAAAAAGAAATAGAATTTATACAATTATTATTGAAACGAAAGATATTATAAATGCAAAGGAAGTTGACGAAAAACAGTGATCCCAAAAAAACTAAGGTTAAAAAGACACGGATTCTATAACGAATTGATCCGAATAGACCTCTTTCATCGCAGTTAATTCCAGCAAGTGGTCGTCACAATATGCATTTCATGTATATATAAATAAAAAACGAATTTTATCACGGAAACAATTAAATGACCCACACCTTAGTGTGTTCCCATAACGTATTCAGCATGAAACCTACACGTTATGTCATTCCTAAATTTTCTTTTTATAGCTTGCTACCCCCCCCCCCGCTATGTAGGGTAGTTGAGATAATGAATTCTGCCGCAGGCGTGCTGCCCTCCCAGTTACCAATTTGCTGGCGTAGATGAAACAGGTATGACATAAACACGTCTTTATGGCCTCGGCCACGACCTTGTATGTAGACAGTCGGTGCTGATGCTGTTTTTAATGTTATTAATATTCTCGTTTTTGGTTATCGTTGGTTCATATAAATTTATCGTTGCCGTTAGTATTTTAAGCTGCTGCTGTCTTGTTGCTGGTGTCACTTATGCAAATGTCATGATTACTGTAGCAGAGCTATTTAGCGCTCCTTAACAGAGGAAGTCTTGGACATAAAGAGTCTTTTTGTCATAACAAAAATAACAACGGTGTACAGTCGTTCAAGCGTTCAAGCTTAACAATCCTGGTTCTAAAGGGATTACGATTCACAGAATCACACACTAACTAGTCACTACTAGTTAAACGAGAGTAAACGCCTTTACAAGGCTAACACTCTTTCATCACGCTATGCCATTAACTAGGCACTAGCGTCCGACGATTCAAAAGGGACACTGAACTTTATTTATTCTTTTAGCTACTGTAATGAAACCCTAAAACCTTGCCTGGATGACTTCTACATTACAATATTATGACAATTCGTCTACTTCGCTTAAAGATTTTATAGAGCTCTAACCTTGACCATCATGCTCATAACGCATCTTAAAATGACTGAGTTGACGCCTTCGTCCAACATCCGTGAAGATTCCTCGAGGAGGGTATGGTGGACTACGAGATTGACACCGCTGCCTTAAGCATTTAAGACCATCCTCCAGATAAGCAACTGGCGCGTGACACTATGCGCAATGCGCCTAGTCTATTCGTGGAATGCGAGGAGATACATTCACTCCTCTTACAGCGTGCAGCTGCCGACCCTGCAATGGGTCTGTTGCACAGTGCACTCGATGAAGATCAAGCTTAATATCTCTAATCGGTCGATTACCGCAGGCGTCAAGCACAATGTGTAGCCACCGTGTATGCTCAAGTGGCTAGCGCTTCTCTCCACCGAGTGTGAATGAAAGCACTCGTCAGACTAACGGGCAGTCACTTTCAACATGGATCACGGGAACCAAGGCTATCACATCCACAGCAATAGCGGAGAGGGAGTCTCTCGAGGCGAGAACCTTGGGGTTAGAGTGTATGACCGTTCAAGGTTACCCCCAAAAGACTGAATCTGCAAGCACGAGGTGCGTCAGTGTTCTCCATGCGGACAGTTTCCGTAGTTCTCTTCCCTGGTGAGACGGATGCGGAAAATCTTGTC